TGAACAGGCTTTGACCTCTGGCCTCAGTGGCTTAAAAAACTTGTCTAGTGTGCATGTACAGATCCAGACGGAATAGGGAAATAGAGAAAGGAGTAATGTATGACTTGAACCACAGTCAACTATGTGGTAGTCCAGTGATATAACCGTTACGCCACCTGCTGGTCCCATGAAGTATGCCCTAAAGAGTTGGCAAGTGGTGTGGTAGTTGAGATGCTGGACTCCCAGGTGACCATAGTTTGAGTCCCAGATTTGGTGGCTTGCTCTTTTATTCTCTGTCTTTCTCTCTGGTTAAATCGAAGAATAATAAATAAATAAAAAGAATAAGTAATTTTTTTAAAGTAAAAAAAGAGTATGTTGAAACTGACACCATTATGAGGTTGGTGTGGAAGGGGAAGGGAAAGTAAAGCTTTAAATTGAGAATTGTTTAAAATATTTGCAAAGTAAGGCTGTCTACCTCCACCCCCCTACCCTCCACTCCAGTAAATTTTAGATAAGTTATTGGAGTTGCAGGAGGAAAGTTTCTATGTTCATGTTCTGGCACAGACTTCCTGTTTATACCTTCAGAGGAAAAATTGTATAGATGGGTTCCTGAAATTCTGTTTTAACTGTGTTTGTTTTATTGCTCATTTAACAATAAGTGGGTTGGGCCCTTGGGTAGCAGAAATGACTGGCACTTGTCCCACAGGCTGGAGTCCAGGGTGGAGAAGTGGACCGGTAAAGGTTATTACATTGTAGTATGAAACATCCTGTGAGAAAGATCGGGAGGTCAGGTGGCATTTTTCTATGGAAAAAAGAAAAACATACATCAAAGTTAAGTTCCTGGATAATCACCCAAAACCTAAATTTATCTTTGGCTTTTACCAATAATTCATTATAGCTGTTTTATTGAGCCTTTTAGGTCCTAGGGATAATTCTTTTTTTTAAATTTAGAATTATTTTATTTCACATGTGGTTTGAGTCCCAGACCCAGACCTAGTGGCTTGCTTTCTCACTTTTCCTCTCACTCTTTCTCTTGTGCGCTCTCTGTCCTTATCTGGTCATATTTACAAATAAATAAATAAATAATAAAAAAGAATTATTTTATTTCATTTATTATCATCATTATCATTTGTTTAATTTGACCAGAGAGAGACAGAGAGAGAGAAAGTAAAAGGAAAGCAAGCCTTCAAGTCTGGGACTCAGACCACTGTCAATCATGTGGGAGTTCAGCACCTTAACCACCACGCCACCTGCCGGCACCCCCGGGGAGAATTCTAAGCCTTAAATTTATCTGATCCTTTCAATAGCTTTTTGAGGTATTATTATCATCTCCATTTTATAGAGGAGCAAATGGGCATGAAGAAATTAACTGCTCAGATAATCCTCTCACAGGGCCAGCTATCCAGCCTTTTGTAAACTTTCCTTATTAGAGCCATAATCCTTGAATCATTCTATTCTCTTAGCCCTTTCACATGGTCAGCAACACTTTTTTTTAATTAACATTTTTATTTATTTATTTATTTATTTATTTATTGGAGAGGTTTTTGCTATAGGGCTCGTGCGCTTGCCTGACAGAGAGAGTCAGAGAGACAGAAAGTGAGAAATCACCCCCCCAGGGGGGATGGCCAAGCCGCAATCCCTTCTCCTCCGTTCTCCTCTTGGGATCTTGGGCACGCACGCACACAAGCCCGGCGTGAGTTTCAAGCCACTGGGTCCGGGATGCGAATCGCGGTTGACTGCGTGGGAGTCCAGCAGCATAACCATTACGCTAACTGCTGGTCCCAGCAACATTTTTAATGTATTAGAAGACATTTGCTTAACTGTAAAGCATTCAAAACAAAGTTTGAAAAATTCAGAGCTATAGAATTCAAAATAAAATAAACAAGAAATTGAAAATCTACTTATCGTGACATCATAAGTTTTCCTCATGTATAGATACGATTTAAGTGCACAGGAACCAATCAGTCTTTCCCCCTTCTCTGTTTTGCTTATCAACATCTGGACTCTGATTAGCCTTAGTTCTATTCAGGGCTGAACATTTGCGTTCAGGATTGGGGCACATATTGGGCAAGATTCATAACAGACAGTGCAGTGGAGGAGGTCAAGGATTTCCTATGTTGCCTCATTTGTAATCATCTGGAAACCTGCAGAGAGTATGATAATGAAGTGCCGTATCTAGATTTCATGTTTTCTGGCCCAGTGCATTTCCTTCAATGATAACTGTCGGAAATAATCAACTCTGCAAAAATAATAATTAATGCAGTTTATTTCTAAGCAGAATGTGAGTGACCCAGTGTTGCAGAAAACCGGATGCTGAGAAATGAAAAACAGCACTCGGAGGGATGAGAACTGTTTATTACGCCAGCGGGCAGTGGAGTTAACACTCAGAATCTCCGGCCCGACTGAGAATTGGACATGGTCTTTTATGGGGGAATTGGGGAGGGGAGGTATCCAGATGTTAGGATTGGAGAAAGGGCTGAGAAGCAAGAAGAGTGGGAAGTCTGTTTTGTTCAGGGTTTCAGGTCATCCTGTAGCTCTAGGGAGAGGCAGTAAATTTGCTGGAGGGCGTAAACCTTAGGCAGCTCTCAGCTCTGTGTTATTCATGAATTCAGGGTCTCTTCTTATCACTAGACCTGCAGAGGAGGCAAGACATGCCTTTCTCTGGATGATCAGGTACAGGGGATCCTTTTATTTGATTTTGGGAGCAAGAGACAAAGTTTGGAATTTAGTGAAAAGTTTTTCCATTCATATGGCCCCCAAATGCGGGACATATGGAAGCTGGGGCTAGCAGGTTATAAGTGGGTTTTACAGTTTTTAGGTTGGTGGTTGGAAAAGGAAGGTTGCTGAGATCAGAAAAGAATGTACTTTCACAGAGATAAGGAGGTCTAATACACATCACAAAGATACCATGCCAGGGACAAAATGCAGGAAGAATCTTTTTATCAATGGGTCAAAAAGGTCTGTTAATGTTTCTGGGTGTGACTCCCCCAGGCTCAGTGGAAAGGATTTTAGAAAATAGGAAAAAGCAGTCAAACTTTTGTCCTCAGTGTGATAGGAGTTGCAACAGCGAGGAGGGGACTGTACCCATGGTAGAAAGCCTCTTTTTCTCTTTGCTCTAATACTTAATGTGTGTATCAAGTTTTATACGTACATAAAGATTATGTTTATATGTATAGAAACATATAAAGTCTTATATATGTGTATTTTTTAGAGGTCTTTGCCTTAGGGCACATGTATTCTTCAGAGAGAGAGAGAGAGAGACAGAGACAGTGAGAGGGAAAGCGAGAAATCACCCTCCAGCCTGATGGCTACACTACAGTTCCTCCTGGGATCTTGGGCATGTATACACACATGCCTGGCCTGAGTTTCAAGTCACCTGGTCTGAGACCAACCGTGGTCAGCCATGTGGGAGTCCAGTGATGTAACCACAGCCATGCCCTCTGCTGGTCCCAACAGGTTTATATTCTCATAACACAGAGTTAAATATACCTATATGAGGACATGGCCCTCCTATGTCCTCTATCTGTGTGGAGATGTGTAACATAGTTAATGGAGGAGCTTGGCTATGACTTGAACCTTGTAGAACAGGGGAGATTTTATTAGGAGGAGGAGCGAGCACCACTGACCCACTTAGATTCAGGGACAGTTACAGGCAGTTGTACATGAAACAACACAGCCTAAGGTAAGCTACGCTTATATTAGGTTGTCGGAAAAGTCATGACATTTTTCTATGCAGAGATGCGTCATGACTTTTCCAACAACCTGATAGAAGGTGTATTGAATCTCACCAAAGGGGCATCTCTCCTCTGACATTCTTTCCAGTTTCCTGTGAAATCTTAGCCAAAGTGGAATTTTATGAGTAAGAAGTTTTAAGTTTTTGGGAGCTTGACATATACTCCATAGCATAATGGTGCAGGATATAAAAGTGACTTTTAGGAACCAGAAGTTGGCGTAATGGCTATGTTGCTGGACTCCCATGTAGTCAATCACAATTTGAGTCCTGGACCCGGTGGCTTAAACTCATGCAGGGCGCATGTGTGCTTGCATGCCCAAGATCCCGAAAGGAGAATGGAGGAGAAGGGATTGCAGGTGGCCATTCCTCCAGGGGTGTGTGTATGTGTGTGTATGTGTGTATGTGCGTGTGATTTCTCGCTTCATATCTCTGTTTTTCTGGCAAGCACACATGCCCTATAGCAAAAACCTCTCAAAAAAAAAAAAAAAAGTGTTTTTTAGGCCCAGCCACAGTGGGACTGTTAAAATACGCATCTCTGCAGGCTGAGGCCCAATGGGGGGCCCAGGTTGGATTCCTGGCAACCTGAAAGCAGACGCTGTGTGAATCTGTAATCCCAGCAATTTGGGGAGATTTAGGCAGGAGGATCAGGAATTTGAGACTGACCTTGTCTAAAAAAGCCGGATGTGGGGGCCAACAGATAGTGTGGTGGTTAAGGTGGCTGGATCCCACATGGTGGACTATGCAGTTCAAGGCCTGGACCTGGCAACTTGAGAAACATGCCATGTGCCTGTGTGTGCATACCCAAATCCTGAGAAGAGAATGAGGAGAAGGGATTGTGATGTGGCTAAACCCCCAGAAGATGCTTTCTTACTTTCTCTTTCTCTCTCTCCGTGTAACCACATGAACCTAGAACAAATTAAAAAAAAAAAGAAGCCAGTCATGGTGGTGTCCTTTTGGTGCTAGCTGCTTCAGGCTGAGGGCAGATAATGATATCAGAGAGACCCTGTCTTAAAAAAAAAGTTTCAGGGGACTTAAGGGACTCAGTAGTTACACCTTTAGTTCCTTTGTTTGTTCATTACACAAGATGAGATTATGGACTAATTAACTCTATTTTTATGTTTGCATTTGGCTTCTTTGTGTCTATGTTATCTGTAATAGAAGCTAGTAAATACTTCGTTTGTCTGGGCTTTGTCTGTCTTGGCATTTTGATCAGTGTCCATGACTCAAGTCTATCTTGTCTACCTGAGGCACTGTGGCTACATTCCTTTCTCAATTATAGTATAAAATAATGAGACTTTCTGTTCAGTCCCAGAAATCCTGGATTGAAGGAGTGTTTGACAAGAGAGAATGCAACAAAGTGATACCCAGCTCCAAAGACCCGCACAGGTACCATTTTAAATTACGTTTTCTTTTCAAAGCAATATTACTTGGAGGACTGTTACAGAAAGTTAACAGACAGGATTTGTCTAGAGGATTTGATAATATCTGTAGCTAGTATGTATTAATTTTGAATCAATGTTTGTTTCTTTCACTTTATCAAAGTAATACATGATTATTGTGGAAAATATGGTTAAGAACAGGGATCTTGTCAATTTTGTATTTCACTCTAACCCCTGGACCTGCCACAGAGAGGATGCTGATAAATACCTGTCTAATGAGCTAATGGAGTTTAAAGGAGAAGGAAGTTCATTGCAATGAGATCACTGCTAACAGTGTGGTGGATTTCATTCCATTGGGTGATCCTATTCCTCTTGATGAGGAGGTAGACTTTAAGGAAATATCCAGTGCTACATTCATTCCAGTGCATTTGGATAAATAGTTTACAACCTCTGAATTTTGAATATTCAAAACACTGTGGACGTTTCTTACCCTAATGAAAGTATCAGTGGAAAACTGTTTTGGACTTTCTAGAATACTGTGCTTAGGTGATCTAAACACGTCATTTTAGTTCTGTTTTTCTCCTGTGGGCATTTTGTTTGAGCAGAAAATGGGCAATTGAATGGAATGATTTGAGTTGACTACTCTTGAGTTCTTGACAACTCGACAACCCTTTGGAAGTTCTAGTTGTAGAACAAAGTTCAAAAAGGCAGCCAGTTAAAGATAGTGGAGGAAAGGGCTATGGAAAATTCCCTAAGGTAATCAGATCTATGAAACAAAGATTAGATGGCATTTCCTTTAGGGGGAAAAAAGGAAAAATAGGAGAACAATAATTAGGGAACAATTCTATTTTTAGATTTTATTTGATCAATTGACCTTATATTAATTTAATTTTTAGAAATCATAACTGTATACTTATGAAGATAGCATGGTGAGGTTCTTGAAATTCTAGTTCTTTGAAGATGACTAAAATGTGTTCTTTGCCTTTGTTAAACATTTACTAGTCCCACCCTCATTGAATTACTGTGATTTGTAAGCCCTGTGATTGGAAATTCTCATTATACCTGCTTACAAAATGTTTATAGTATGCCAAGGTAACTTTCTTTTTGCCTTTCATCATTTATGATGTCTTGTAATGTGATGGTGACTATTATGGAAAACGGATTGAATTCCTTTTGCTTCTGTAAGTGGAAAATCCTTTCACAATCACCTTGAACCTCATGAAAGTGTTAAGATTACTGAGTCTGTTATTAATCCATAAACTTTAGCAAAAACCAATGATAATAATTCTGTGAATGTTCCAGTGCCTCCTATGTTTTATGGAAAAAAAAGGCTATTTTTGTGGGGTAGTGGGAAAAAATTAATGGATGACTATGGTTATTGCTTACCTTTTCAAGGAAAAAGTCTTTTCCTTAGATCCTACGAAGATTCTCAAAATTACATTTATGAAGTGTTCTTCATTATGGTGGACAGTAGTTTGCTATCTTAAATTTATTGATTTATTTATGTTGCCAGGGATAGAGAGGGAGAAAGGACTCCTTTCCCCAAGGGGCATGGCCATGCTACAATCCCTTTTCCTCCATTTTTTCTACCCTGTCAGCATTTTGTGCATGCATGCACACATGATCAATGTGTCTTTCAAGCCATTGGGGCTGGGATTAGAACCATGGTCATCCATGTGGGATCTGGCTCCTTTAACTGTGGAGCTGGTCCATTGTTTTACATTTTGACAAAATTTATCCCTTTCATTGATTCTTTTTTGTAGCTCCTATTGAGAAACAATACTAATAGACTTGATCATAATGTCTTTTTCTTCTCATTTTAAACTCTTTTTTTTTTCTTTAAATCGCCAGAGCGTGTTTGTGCTCACTAGAGAGAGATAGAAAGAGAGAAGAGGCAGAGGGAGAAAGCAACCCCTAAAAGGACATGGTCACACCATAATCCCTTCTATTCCATCTACCCATCTGGTTGAGATTTTGGGCATACACGCATAAGTGCCCAGGATGTTTTGCAAGTTGCTGGGACTGGTATTCAAATCACTGTGGGCCATATAGGGTCTTGGTCTTTTGGCCAATAAGCTAAGGGGCTGGTGCTCATTTTCAACTTGTCGTATAGTAAAGCTTCTGAGAAAGATATTCTGAAAAGCCTGGTACTGGAAAAACTAAAAGGCCTGAATATTAGTTTCTGTACAATGTAGAATGACTCTGAGTCACGCACATTACCCTTTTTTCTACTCCTTTCACTAGAATTCTCTGTTAAAACTTTTCACTTTGGGGGCCAACAGGTGGCATGGTGGCTAAGGCAATGGAGTCCACATGGCTGACTGCAAGGTTCGAGTCTTATACCTGGAGGCTTGAAATTCATACTGGGCATGTGTGTATGTGTGCCTAATATCCTGAGAGGAGAATGGAGGAGAAGGGATGGGGGTGTAGCCATCCCCCTTGGAGAGTGATTTTTTTCATTTTCTATCTCGTTGTCTCTCTCCAGCAAGCACACATGCCTTTTGGCAAAAACCTAAAAAAAAAAAGGAAAAAAAAACCAACAAAAACCTTCTTCAAAATATGACCATTCATGATCACAATGCTAGCCCGAAGTTCGTTGTGAATCATAAAAAAGATTTGTAAGAATTATAATTATAATCATATTAACTATCCTTTATTTGATAGTGTTTTATGGTTTTTAAATAGTCTCTATGTGTTTTTACTTGATTCTCAAGAATTCTGTGTTATAGTTTAACAGTAATAGTTGAGACTAGCAGGTGACATGGTGGTTGAGATGGTGGGCTTCCACATGGCCTACCATGGTCCGAGTCCCAGACCTGGCATCTTGCTTTCTTTCTTTCTCTTTCTTTCTCTCTCTTTCTGGTCAAATTTAAATAATAATAATAATAATAATAATAATAATAATAAATAAAATGAAATAAATAGTTCTTTAAAAGATATTGTAATCGTTACTTGGGACCAGCAGTTGGCGTAATGGTTATGTCGCTGGACTCCCGTGTAGTTGACCGCGGTTTGAGTCCCGCACCCGGTGGCTTAAACTCATGCCAGGTGTGTGCACATACGTGCCCAAGATCCTGAGAGGAGAATGGAGGAGAAGGGATTGCTGCATGGCCATCCCCCCTGTGGGGTGATTTCTCTGTCTTTCTGGCAAGCACATATGCCCTATATCAAAAACCTCTAAAAAAATATATTGTAACAGTTACTATTATTATGACATTATTATTACACTATGATGTACCCGGGATTATAAGACACTTATTATACAATCTCAGATAATACTTTTTTTTTTTTTGGAGAGATTTTCACTATAGGGCCTGTGTGCTTGCCAGACAGACAGAGAGAGACATAGAGACAGAAAGCGAGAAATCACCCCCCAGGGGGGATGGTCATGCCGCAATCCCTTCTCCTCCATTCTCCTCTTGGGATCTTGGGTACGCACACACACGCGCCCAGCGTGAGTTCTAAACCACCGGGTCCGGGACGCGAACCACAGTCGACTATGTGGGAGTCCAGCGACATAGCCATTACGCTAACTGCTGGTTCTCTCAGATAATACTTTTAATAACCTTACAGGGCATATATTATCTCTAGACATAAAAACTGGGGCTTAGAGACTTCATTAGATTAATGAGATTTAAATATAGGTATTTTGATTCCAAAGTCCATGTTCTATTAATTAGATCATAGCTGCTACAGTATAACTGTATGCAGTAAATTACATACGGAAATACTGGAGAAATGATATGTGAGTTCTCAACAGACCATAGAAAATAATGGATATTTATTGTATAAGCATTAAGTATGTTTTCTAATGTATCAGTCAACTAAAAGAGGTTTATTCCTTTGATCTAGATGTACTCCAGGATGCCAGGTCTGCCAGAACTTAATCAGGTAAGATTTGGGTATGTAAGATTCCTTTTAACTTTTCTACTCCTTGCCTAAAACTCGTTGGAACATTTTTCTCCTACCTTGAATGGACTCTGGAAGATGCATAGCATTTTGCTTCCTAAAAGATGTTTTTAAAAAGAAAATGTTTTGGGATCTGGCAAATGGCTTGGTGGTTAAGGGTGCTGGACTTCCACATGGCTGACTGTGGTTTGAGTCCCAGACCTGGCTGCTTGCTTTCTCACTTTCCCTCTCTGATCAAATTCAAATAAATAAATAAATATGAAATAAAATAAAATATTTTTTAAAAAGGGACTATTTGATGTAGAGGGATCACTTGATTGTAATTGATTATTTAGGTTACTGAGACATGCAAGTGTGCAAGGGCCTTTGGCAAGAGGTCCCACCCACTGAAACACGTGTAAAGCAGTGCATTTTCATTTTACGATCACATCTTACTCGGATGATGAAGATGCTTCAAGCATACACAGCAGTGTATTTGATCTATGGCTTATATGTGATATGTGCGTGTGCTAAACTTATGGCAAAATAACCCTTTAATGCGTATACATTTTAAGAGGGATTTGCATACTAAACGATGTGTTTGTAACTGGCTTTACCTCTTTTGTGAGTGGAGGGAAGTGACATTCCCTTATTTCTGATCATAGCTTGAATTTTATATTATGGATTGAGTTGATGTTGAATTTTTATGAACCGAATAATTGGAGCCTCTGGTTTAGCAGATCATGGGGAAAGGAGTACAGCATCCACAAATAGGGAGAGGAAGAACAGGGTTGCCAGCCAGGAGTGGGGGGAGAACTGACTTGACTGACCTCTTGTACCGTTTCCTAATTCTTTTTTATTTCCTTTTAGTAATCGCTTAACATTTTGCTCTTATTAAGAGCAAATATAGGAATATAGTGAAAGGAAGACGAAAGAACTCATTTATTTCTCCTACTTTGTATTTTATTTTCTAAAACTTTTCTCTACGTTAGTAATATCCTCCTAAATAAACCTTCCCATTTTTAGGGGTAATGTGAAAATGCTGGAAAACCATCTATTTTATACCATCTAGAAAGTTTAGAAAGTTAGAACCTAATTGTTTTTGCACCAAACTGGGACCTTGTTTTATTTGTTTGATGTGGAGAGCAGATGTCCCAACAGTTACTGAGCAGTCTCTCGCCTCGGCCATGTCTGACCCCCTCCCGGTTATATGCCTGATTCCCCTGTCCGTGGCTCTGTTCCTGAGTTTTCTTTTCAGTGTCATTGATCTGTTTCTATTCCTGTCAAATGCCACTATTTCATCATTATGACTTTCTAATATATCTTAATATCTGCTATGGCAAGAATGCTGAGTTTTACTCTTCTTTCTAAAAGCCATGTTACTCTTTTGGACACTTTCATACATTCATATGAATTTAGAACCACTTTTTCAAGCTCCCTGAAGAATCTTGGATTTTGATGGCTGTTTTATTAAATTTATAAATACTTCGGGAGGGAGTAGATATCTTGACAGGGCCAGCAGGTGGCCCTGGGCTCCCATATGACTGACTACTGTTTGAATCCTGGACATGGTGGCTTGAAAATCATGCTTGGTGTGCTTGTGTGTGTGTGTGTGTGTGTGTGTGTGTGTGTGTGTGTGTGTGTCTAAAATTTCTGGAGGAGAAGGGATTGTATCATAGCCATCGCCCTGGCGGGGGGGGCTGATTTCTCACTTTTCCTCTCACTATGTCTGTCTCTCTGGTGAGCACACATCCTCTATGGCAAAAACCTTAACAAAAAAACAAAACAGAACTATACTGGCACAAATCATATTGTTGGACCAGAAAAGTACTTAGAGCAAAACAGGCTCAAACTAAAAGAAAGTCCTATCAAAGAGTAATGAGTTATCTTTCCAGATGTGTATTGTGGTTACCTCAACTGATGTCCTGTTTAGAAAGTCAGTTGGATGAATAATTATTTGCTTTGGGACCAGCAGTTAGCGTAATGGCTATGTCACTGAACTCCCATGTAGCCGACTGCGGTTTGAGTCCTGGACCTGATGGCTTAAACTCACGCCGGGCGTGTGTGCGTGCGTGCCCAAGAGAGGAGGAGAATGGATGAGAAGGGATTGTGGCATGGCCATCCCCCCTGGGGGGTGATTTCTCGTTTTCTGTCTCTCTGTCTCTCTCTCTGTCTTTCTGGTGAGCGCACGCACCCTATAGCAAAAACTTCTCCCCACCCCCCAAAAAAAATTATTTGCTTTCACCCATAAACAGATGCTTGTTCATTTTGGAAAGTGCTCATTGCTCCAAATGATGACCAGATTGTGTATTTCTCGCTAGTAGAGCCTATGTGTATTCTGTATGCTTGGGATTACTATTTCTCCCTGTGAGTTAAAGACCCTTCATATGGAACCCCAATAGTCCTCCACTGTCTGACTTATTTTTTTCTTTTTTAAAAATTATTTTATTTAAGTTTATTTATTTATTTATTTATTT